AAAGAGAAGTGGGGAGGGGAAGGAGACTCAAATCGGTTCTGCGCTACCCTCCCCGCTAGGCACTTTGCACGCATGCCTCATTTCATCCTCGCAGTTCTGGGAAGCTGGCATGGCTGTGCCCATTTTACAGATGAGGAAAGTAAGGCTTAGACGGTCAAGTCTTTTGCCCGAATACACGAACACACAGCCAGGAAGCTGCAGAGGCAGGAACCTGGCTGGGTCTCTTTAACTGGAAAGCCCATGCTTTGGAAGAAAGGAAGAGGAAAATGTGGAAAAGTGGAAGAGAGAGAACAGATCAGAAAAGGAAGCAGATGGGCTTTACTGAGCAAATCATATTAGATTCTCTAGCCTAATCCAGCCACAGGTGAGAGGGAAACAGCACTGGGAGAAATTATTCAGGAGTGTAACTCAATCTTGTCTAATAAGAGTCTCAACAGCCAACTCATTTTGCTTCAAGGATAGCAAAGGTGGTTTTCAGGAGCTCCATTTCCAGCCCTTTGGCCTGTTTCCATCTGTCTGTCCCTACATTCTTCATCTCATTGCATTTGCTGCTTTTTGTTTTATTTAAAAATCTACTCTACTTCCCTGGTCAAATCTCCCCTTGCACACTTCCCCCCAAATTATGGCCACACAAATTCCCATAATGCCAGGCCATCAAATGAGGCATCAACATTAAGGAGTTTGAGTTAATAACCTGAACATGTTGTACATTTCACAATAAAAAATTTGAAAGGGACTGGAAGAAAATCACCTTGTTCATTGCCTGTTTTTCAATGATTCTCTGACATCTGCCTGGCAACAGTGAGGCTGTAGACAGTGCAGTCTCTTAAGTCAGACTGCCAGGAATGAACTCCCAGCCCTGCTGCTTTCCAGCTGCGTAACCTCGAGCGAGGTCTTTAACCTCTCTGTGCCTCACTTGACTGACCTATAAAGTGAGGGTAGCAGTGGTGTCTACCTCACAGGGCGGTCACGAAGAGGAAATGAGCAAATGTGTACGAAGGGCTCGAATGGTGTGTGGCGTAGAGCAGGTGCTCAGTAAACATTACCAGCCATCGCCAGCTCAGCATATCCTGTCCTTCTGAGTCCTACAAGAACATGTGGAGCAGAGCCTCTCTCCCTGACATATGCAGTCGGTTGTTCTACTATACCTAATTCTATACAAAATATCTGTTTTTCTAAATAAAGGATCACATAGATCATTTCAGAAGAAATTTAATCCTCCAATTTACAAAGTTACACAATGAATTCTTTTTTTTATGATATATCAGCTTTCGAGGCCAAATCAGATTTGAAAATATGTTAACTATAGTCTTATCCAGAGGCATCAAGTTGTTCAAACATCAAATTGTCCTTCAATTCCATTTATTTTTAAGATAGAATTTCAGTCATTAACTAAGTAAAAAAAATGTTTGCTGAGCACCTCCTATTTACTAGGTCTGTTCTAGGCTCTGGGAATGCAGTGATGGATAAGCTAGACCAAGAATAGGGGCGGATGAGGCTTCCACATTCACGCAGCAGGTTCTGAAGCTGAGATGGCCCTCCAGAGATGACTAGAAATAAGGCAATGGATACAGGCCTTTCTTCCCCCACCTTGTCCATCACCAGATGTAGGCTGCCCCCAGGGAGGGTACGTTCTGCTGAGGACTACCCCCCAGGAACCAACCTCAGTCTTGAAGGGTGACCTGGACACACACCACAGCATCCATTACTCTCTCCAGGGTGGGAGCAGGCTGAGCTTGTTCAAGGACTACAGAAAGCAGCCTATGTGGTTGGAGCATGGCAAGCAAGGTCAAGAGCAATACAGATGAGGTGGGCGAGGAGTGATGGGGAGAGAGGGTCTTTAAACAGCAGGGAAGAAAAGTAGGACATTTCTTTAAACTTAAATAGGAGCAGTCATACTTAAAACGATGGTGGAGGACATGTGACTTATATAAAATTCCACATGAGTAAATTCTTTTAGGCTATAGTTCTAGTAAAAAACAAACAAACAAAAAAAGCAAAACTATCTCTCAAAAGGAACTGGATGTACTCTCCATTTTAGAGAGAAAGTGACATAATTTATAATAGGTCCTTCTTTGCTCTGGCCGCCAGGGAGTTCAGAGCTAAATTTAACGTTTACATACTTTTCAATCTCTTTCCTTTGTTTAATTTTCTCCCTCTTTAAAATTTTGTTAGCTTTTTAGGAAAAGGCAAGGTACAAATAAATGGAATGAATACACATTTTTATTTACACAATACATCTCCTTATAAAAAACAAAAACATTACAGATAAGGCTGAATTCTTTCCTTCATGTAATTCTTTGCTTCTTCCTCTAAAACAACTCTGATACCAGTGAGAACTCTGTGTGTGTTTGTGTGTGTACACGTACGTATGTTCTGGTGACTATGTGCTGTCCCTTGCCTATGCATTTATACACATATGCACTGATAAGAGTTTCTGAACTCTGACTTTTTATTTAGTACTTTCTCCTTTTTAAAAAGAATGCAGACATACAGCACTAAAAATGTTGTCATACAGCGTGGCACATGATAACAATCCATTTGCTTTCCTTCTCGGTGAAATGTCCCGAAGCTAAACCCACATTAGTCCATAAAGAACCAGCCCGCTGTAGCTGCTACGCAGTGATCCACGTAAGACAGCAGCAGAATTTATTTCGCTGTTTCTCTCTTGTTGTGTCCAAATCTCATCTTCGCCATCACAGGTAGGGCCCCAAAGAACATCTTCCTATGTCCCCCTTGCATACCTGCTGAAGTGTTTCTCCTGGATGGGTATCAGTGAGTGGAAGTGCTAGGTGCATGTTAGTGGATTGCAAACTCGCCCACTCCAATGGCTTTACAATTTTATGTCTCTACCGGCAGTTTAGTGATTAAAAAAAAAAAAAAATAGGAACCTAACTCCACAATATGGCATCTCATTCTCTGAGGCACTTACACCCTTCACGTTGTCCCCTCTCTCCAGTGGCCATGTGCAGCCCCTCAGGATGTTGAGGAAAGGACACTGGCCTCACCACCGAGGCAGGCACTGCCTGACAGTGCTGAGCTCTCCTGGGACATGTGGCTTGTTTTTGGAATTGGATTAGGAGCCATTTGCTTCACCACCTTCCCCTCACCTTGCCCTGAGCCTTCCCACTGCCTTAGAGACCATCCCGGCTCTAAGAACAAATAATACAGCTGCCAAGCAGCCTAAAATAATCAAGGCCACGTGATCCGGAGGCAGCTCCCAGCAGAAAACAGGCAAATATTGTCAAACGCCTTCTGCCAAACACTCTCCAGCATCCTCGGTCACGAGGGTTAGTGAAGCCCAACCCGCTGGGGATGGTGAGCGCTGCTGGAATCTTGGCCGCACAATAACCTCTATTCATGCAGAGGATTTTGGAATGGAAAGCAGCCTGTTCCCCCATCCTGGCCTACTTGCTGCCAGCACATGTCCCCCTGCTCGGCCCCACCCTCTCACACACCTCCCTTGTCTGTGTCACTCCCGGCACCTCATGTGCTGTCAGGGTGGACCCACTTTCCTCTGCAGCAATTTACAGAGGTAACGAGGCCCTTCGCCAAAGGAAGAGGGTAGAAGACCAAATTGTCACTTTCTTGGCGGCATTTTCTTTTCTTTAGGAAAAAAAAAAATATAGAAATGAGGCCTTGGGTGGTTGATGGGTTTTCAATATTCCAAATTAATATGGAACAAAGTAAATTAGTGTTTCTCTTTTAAATGTTCTTGGAGGCCAGAGGTAGACGACTGGGCTTAGTACTGTTCCAAAGAAGTCCACTGAAATTTTAGACGAGGTCATGGCTCCTAGACCAGACCCATGGGGTGTAACCAATACCTGATGTTCTGCAGCCATTTCTGACTTGAGCCCTTTTTCAATGGTGACATAACATTATTTACTTTCATAATGTGAGTTCCAGAAAGGGAAGCTGAACATTTTTAGCTCTGAAAGCAACCAGAGGTGCTGGATAATGTCAAGGTGCGATCGTGTCCTGCCAGGACCCTCGGCCACAGATGGAGAAAGGATAGGTGAGCGGAACAACACGAGAGTGTAAATGTCTCAGAGCGAGGTGCTGTGTTGTGGAGCTAGGTTCCTACTTTAAAAAAGGGGGGATTTTGTGCTGTGGTTAAGACGTTTTTAAAAATGGCAAAGCTATTCGAGTGGGCAATTTTGTAATCCTAAGAACATCATCATATGTGCATCCAGCAATTCTGCTTCTTGCTAGCGACATGGAGAAACACTCCCGCTGGAGTGCCAGGAGGCACAGATGAAGACGTCCTTTGTAGCCCTACCTGTAACGTAGAGACAGGGAACAGATGGAAGGAGAAGATGGAGAGGGATGGGTTTGGGGT